CTGTATTATCCAAACTAGGACGATCAAGATCTCGGTCGAAGTTTATGCAAGCACTATCCGCGTCATCGAAACTCAATTTAGATTCTGTATCACCATGTACAAAGGTAAATACTCTATGCCCAAGAGATCCACGTGCAATTTCTATGGCTTTTACAAGATTGGCGATAACAAAGATGAAAAGTAGTTCACGAGACATTATCAAATTCAGATCCAGCGATGTTAGCTAGTTGCGCTAACGTGAGTAGTACTTACGATGCCAGTTCATCAAAAATATTTTTTATAAGTAATTCCATACTCATTAAAAAAGAAATAATAATAATTTAATTTTATTTGTTTTTCAGCGCCTATAATCTGTTTGGTAGCTTCGTACGTCGCCCCGTCTGTCTTGAGTTTATCCATTATCTGAACGCATTTCCCAGGATGGGTAGCATCCTTAGCAAAATACAAGACATTGAAAATAATATTTTACTTCATCATCTGGTAGGAACAAAATCTATAGACCTTTCTAATCCCTTTTGGGACGAACTTTTGTCTTTTTCCTTTATTCCAGTGTATGAAAAGCAAGTTTAATTAATTATAGTATTATTTTAAATTAGGAAAGAAAGCCAACAAATAGAATCTCTTTCTGCCGGTCTGCTGGAAGCATTTGAGGCCAATGACCTAAAAACTCATAATTTTTCTTCACTGATTCAGGTTATTATAGCTAATGGGACTAATATTCTTGGATCATTCAAGCAGTCAACCTCAGTGTGAGTCTCTCGCAAGTTTTATTTATGACCTATTTAGGGATGGTCAGCACATAATGAAAACACAGAATGGGTTACTTCTGTTCAGAATATTTAGCAAATTTTTGATTGAACGGTGTTCTGAAGAACTTCTTTTAAGGCACCTACATGAGCCAACTAATAATGGTTTGCCCTTATCTTAAAAATATATATTTAACCTAAGCACCTTTAGTTGAATATTTTTTGAACATGCTTTTCTCGATTATTATCGAAATTCCTTCCATGTAAGCTTTTTTTGATTTCATCTCTTAGCGAATCGACCTATGCACTCTTGTGTGAAAGTATAAATGCCCTGCTTATACTTTTATCTCTTCAAGTGTTTCGAGAAATGTCTTCAGAATTATTATTTGTTCATAAGCATATAATGTGGGGACGGTGGTAAGTTTTCTACTCAATGTCATCCTTGCATTACTCGCTATTACTTTAGCTTTAATAGAGCTAACACTATTATTTCAGTGCCTCCAGAGCATCTGCCTGCGTGCAGCGTTTATTAGAACTATTCACCGAAAACCCCCCATGTCCGCCTTTTTTAATGCCCAGCTCTGGACATTCTAGTATCCTTTGGAACGCCGCATCGTACTTGGCAAGCAAGTTTTACCTTATTCTTTATTAAATTTATATTATTTTATGCCATTTATCTTACTTTGTTCACGCTAATTACTTTTTCATGTTTTAGCTGGTCTTCTTTCTTTTGTGACACTGGGGTATGCTGGACGAGCTTCAGGGAATAATTTTATTAGCAATCCCGCCGCTAACGCTATTAAGACAGCTCATTCTTCAGGCAAAAAAGCAAATTCCTCTGATTCATGCAGCCAAAGTCCTTCGGATACTGGTAACCTCATTTCTCTATGTGTACACTCATCACTTTGTCGACAACCGGATATGTATACTTTCTCACTTATACTATTCCATTCCGACTTGTCTTGCTTTCTTTCATTTTTCTATCATCCACTTATTATATAAGTATGCCTACCTTAATTGCCAGTTTTTTCCTAATCAAATTTCTATTTATACTGATATTTAGATATTCCATTGTTGGACGGTATCTCAACAGCAAATTCTAGCATCAAACTGAGTGGTCTCCCTCTACCATGCACTCACTTGCTCGCTAACCAAGCCTGTCTGCTATTGCTTGTTCTAGTAACCCAAGCTGGAGTCCCACTTCTTGTCGAGCAGTCAGATAACGATCGCAGTGGGACACGATTATCTGCTACTCGAGCTGCTGGCTCCGCCAAAGCGGCAGCTGCTGCCAGATTGGTTCCAAAAAATCTCTATCGCGAGGCACTCTTCTGTATTTTAGATAAAACAGGTGGCGCAAATATGTATGACAGAGGTAACCAGATCTCTGCCTTGAATTTTATTTCAGACGAACCTTCTGATGACAAACAAAAGCAAGGTATCTCTTAAATATGCTCTTAGTTTATACTTCTAAATATATATATATACCTTAAAACATAAATGGAGCTCTTGGAATTGATTCCTATGTGTTTTATGGACGTAAGGTAAAAGAAATTATGCAT